GCTGCTGCCGCAGCAGCAGGAAGAGCAGCTGCTGCTGCTGCAGCAGGAGCAGGAGATGCAGCAGCAGCAGCAGCAGCAGCAGCACCACCACCACCATCATATGCAGCAGCAGCAGCAGCAGCAGCAGCAGCAGCAGGAGATGCAGCAGATGGACGAGGAGGAGGACGAACAGCAGCAGCAGCAGCAAATACATGAGCTACGGCTGCTGCAGCAGCAGCAGCAGCAGCAGCAGCAGCAGCAGCAGCAGTATATTGCTTCTCTCTCTGCTGATATATGGGGGCCCCCAGGGGGCCCCCCTATAGCAGCAGCATATACAGAGGAGGAGATATATAGAGAGAAAGAAAAAAAAGAAAAAGAAAAAAAAGAAAAAGAAAAAAAAGAAAAAGAAAGAGAAGGAGAAATATATTATGATGATGGAGAGGTGTGGGGGGTAGTAAGCAGCAGCAGCAGCAGCAGCAGCAGCAGCAGCAGCAACGCAGTAGAAGCAGCAGAAGCAGCAGCAGCAGCAGCAGCAGCGGGAGCAGCAGCAGCAGCAGCAGCAACTGCAGCAGCAGCAGCAGCAGCAGCATACGAAGAAGAAGAAGAAGAAGAAATATATAGTTATAGGGACTTGCTGCTGCAGCAGCAGCAGCAGCAGCAGCTGCAGCTGCAGCAGCTTGCAGCAACGCACTCTACCCCCCCCTACAATACATACAGCAGCAGCAACAGCAGCAGCAGCAGCAGCAGCAGCAGCAGCAGCAGCAGGGAAGCAGCAGGAGAGCGTATATGTGTGCTTGTTAATAAAGAGATAGAAGCAACATGTATACGCACCATAGCAGCAACAGAAACATACAAATGCATGCAGCAGCAGCAGCAGCAGCAGCAGCAGCAGCAGCAGCAGCAGCAGCAGCAGCAGCAGCAGCAGCAGATATGTAAAGATATAATAGTAAGAGAACCAGGTGTATGTACAGCTGAAATGCAGCAGCAATTTGCTGCTGTTTGTATATATTATAAACAGCAGCAGCAATGCATAGAGGAAGCTGCTGTTGCTGCTGCTGTTTGCATGCGCGCAGTGTACGTGCAGCAGCCCTATAGATGTATACAGCCGCAGCAGCAGCAGCAGCAGCAGCAGCTGCCGCAGCTGCAGCAGCAGCAGCAGCTGCAGCAGAAGCAGCAGCAGGTGCTGCAGCAGCAGAAGCAGCAGCTGCAGCTGCAGCAGAAGCAGCAGGTGCTGCAGCAGCAGCAGTTGCTGCAGCAGCAGCAGCAGCAGCAGGAGCAGCTGCTGCAGCTAGAAGATATAAATAAAGAAATAGAGAAAAAAGAAACAAACAAAAATAAAAAAGAAAATAAAAAAATAAATAAATATAATATAAATACAATACACATAAACCTCTATCACTGCCCCCGAACACGTATACACAAATACTGCAGCAAA